CTGGAATTAGCTGGGGAAAATGGTATAAAAACTGTTTACGACCTTCAGAGCTATTGGACGTCAATGGCCGCCATCTTGGATTTTTTTGGCTTCACTTGTCCTATTGCCAAAACATCAGAAGTTCCTACTCCAGATATATATATATATATATATAGAGCTCACTGGGCTAGCTAGGTTCAGTAGCGTCTGTGCACCAACATCACATTTTGTGTTCTGTATCGTAATTTATTTGCATTTGTGAATTTCCTTTATTTTCCTATGTGAAGGTTGTTATGATTGACTATACTGAGAAAAAGAAGAGTTTTCTACTCCCAGTCTTGGTAAGTTGAGCCACACAAACCCTGTATACTTAAAAGGCCTGCAGTAGTTCGCTTCAGTAAAAGTTACTTTTATAATGGCAAGCAACACCACTGTCTTTTTATTTCATTTCTGAAATGTTATTCTAAAACTCCTTCTAGCTTTTATCTTCTACTGGATCACATAGTGAAGCAAAAAGTCCTGAGAAAGTTGTTGTGAGATCATTTAAAGATGGCAAGCAGTAAGTGTTACGTTGAAATAAACAGCTTCTCCCTTCTCCTGAAATATCACTTTTTAGTGAGGCCAAAAAAAAAATATGCAGGTTTCCGGTTCCTTCTTATAAAAACTTAGGTAGGGTAGGTCGGTTTTAACTTCTTTTTTTTTAAACTTTTTTTTAATTTTCCGAACAAGCGGACGCCATTTTGTTTAGTCAGTGCTTCCACATCCAAAGATAAATTTCCCAAATATTGCCTCAAATTTCAATTTTCCACAAACTTTTTTCTCTAAGTGGAAACACTTACAACCATGATCCAATAAAAAAGTTTAGGGTCGGGATTTCGATGTCCAAAAGCTAGGTAGGGTCGGGAAACCGGAAACCCACATATTTTTTTTTGGCCTGAGCATGTGAAATTTAAATTAAATTTTTTTCGATCCACATAACTAGAATTGCTCAGGACCACATTAAATCAAACGTCTCAGTGATTAGCGATTTGGAAGCGATATCCACTGTGTTAACCTATATTTCAGTATTGCATTAGCAGGTTACCTGTAAAGGAGCAACTAGCTCTGTGGGTTAAACCAGTCATGTGACAAAGATTATAAAATAAAATAAAATAGCAGTTGTGGATCTGACTTGATTTGTTGAGGGGGTGCAGGTTTTCCAGGGGTGCATTACTACAGGGAGTCCAGGGGCATTCTCCCCGAGAAAATTTTTGAAATTTGAAGTCCTGAAATGCCATTTCCTGCATTCTGAGCTCTAGTCGTTTATTCGTTAAATTTGTCCTCACAGTACTTGTAGTTCAGGAAAAAACTTTAATTGATTATTAGATTTTTAATTGATTATTTGATGTCTCTTACGTAGCATTGAAGTCCATCCAAAGGATGTTAAAGTATTTTCAAAAGAAAGTGCTGTAAACTCCACATTAATAAAAGGGGAAAATCCGTCATTAAAATCAGGTATAGTGTTGTTGTATAAAGTATCCACAAGTA